AAACTATGAGCTTCTTGTATTTTGTTACAGGTATTTGAAAATGTACCAGATCATCTTGGATTCAACATTGAAATTAAATATCCACAAATATACGCGGTTAGTAAATCATATTTGTTTTTTCCTGTAATATTTGATATATGCCAGCTTTAGAATGTTAGTCAATATATATTTGAAGCATTTAGTGTCAAAGCCTTTGTTGTGTGGAGTATTGTGAATAAGAAGGCTTATGTATCATGTTCCATGTATGCAATCATAATTTTCAACATTCATGGACTGATTTTGAACTGATTTGCAGTGGGGTCGTTACAGTATGGCCCAAGCATGCATCAACATTTAACTAGTGTTTTAGCTGGATTAAAACTAGAGATTCACTCGCTTTTAAAATTGCCACATATCTAAATTTTGTAGCATTATGGAATCCTGATACCCTTTCTTTTGCAAATCAGATTGAAAAATGCAATTGTTTCTTAATCCATTTTGGCTATAGCTGGCTGATGGCTGTTTTAATTTAACAAAGGCTCTTCTAGAAACACATGTACGCATTTACATCTATATTAACTTACATAGTGTCATGACTTGTGTTTTTGAGAGATTTTACTATACACCACTGTAGATGACAGACTACACAACCTAACACAGATTTAAATGCTGTTTGTTTCATTTTGTCACTATAAGAGTGCATGAATTCTAAGAATGGTTTATTGTTTATGTATTTAAAAAAAAAAAAAATGCCGATCAAGACATGTACCTCATGAGAAAATATGTCCATTTTGCATTCAAAAAAATAATAGTCCATCACACATTACCAATTCTATCATTAGCTTACATACCTGTATGCTTCATGTTTCTTTATAGACTGGAATTCCCGAGCAGAAGAGTGAGTTTATTGAAAGAAATGTATTTGTGGATACGATATTGAAAGTTGTATTAGAGTATGCTGGTTGTAGACGAATCATTTTCTCATGTTTTGATCCTGATGTTTGTACCATGTAAGTAATGAGGGAAACACAATGATTCAAATCATCTGAAGTCATGTTAAGAATTAATCTCGTCTAATTTTCCAGAATACACACAGAATAAATACTTGTATCTTCAAACTTCACCATTAAAAATCATCAGGCTGAAAATAAATATTAGTGCGTTTCCTATAACGTGCATTTCTAAAGATAGGGTCATTTTTTTTAGTCATTTCCCTCCTTCATGAAATCAATTTCTTTGATCTATTATGCTGATGAATCCCATGTTTAATAATGTTTCCAGTAAAAATCTTCTTAATATTATTCAAAAATTGAGGCAATAAAATCAAGTTTCATTTTGTCCATCGGAATAGGTGATTTTGTGTCATAAATTCATGTTTGGGCAATAAAGGTTTTATGGTAGGCATGAATTTTAGGTAGGGTCTCAGCCAGCATATATTTTTTTTATTGAAGGATACAACTGAAACAAAATAAATTTCCAGTTTTATTTCTGAACTATGGAGAAACTGACAGATATCCCAGCTTCACAGATCAACGATGTCAAGAACCATCCACTGCAATGCTATGGGCTTTATCTCAAGGCTATTTGGTGAGTATGTGTGCTGAGCAGTTTGCATGTCTGTTTGTCTGTACATGTATGCAAGTCTGTGGTCTGTTCCACTGATACATGTATCTCAGGAACAAATGATCACATTTTAGTGAAACTTGTTAATAGATGGCTGGATTAATGCATGGACCTGATTAATTTATGATTGTAATCTGTGAATATTAATTGCCTAATTTGCATATGAATTAGCCAATTTGGGATTGTGAAATATTTCTCAGAATGCATATGTCAATTTCGTGAGCTCTCATTTGAACTTGCTTAACTGACAGCATGCCACCACACAAGCATTTGAACTGTAATTGCATGCCATTCGCCTCCTCAACTAAGACTATTTTTTATCTGTAAATAGTTTACAACGAGATTATCTGTAAATATTTGTTCACATAAATTCATTTTGGAGGCTTCCATTGGAGTCAATTCCGTATACTGGCATCCATTGATGGAATGAAACTTCCAATCATTTGTTGTACTGTTGATGCACTTCAGGGTCCATTGTCTGTCATCATGGCATATCATAACATTTTTAAATAATATAGTTTCAAAGCAATGATGGTTGACTTTGTTTTTACATATTATTTGACATTGAATTGTTTAGTAAGGTGTCAAGTCCATTGGCAATTACTTTCGCAATTGTTTGGTGAATTTTTGTAATTTAAAGGCTCCCAAAATTCTTACATTATTTTGGATTTCAAAATGTTTGTTTATCCTAAACAAACAGCAAAATGAACTATTATATGGTATATAATAAAGTACGAACTCAACAATATCGGTAAACGGTTTCATCTTTATTAGAATCCCGTTCACAGAAATACAGACTGCACAGCTCCAGTAAAACACACGGAGCAAGTGTCTCAAAGTACTGCACATGCACAGTTCACTACATAAAAGGTCAACCGGATATTTACCCTAGTGCATGCTGGGAGTTTACTGCACTGCATGCTGGGAGTTTACCATACAGCAAGTTAACACTATAGACCTGAATATGTTTAATAATCAATTAACCTCTTATTTTAGTTTTTATTGACCACACAATCAAACTGATTGCATAAAAATAATTCACATACATGCTGAAACCTACCAATATACTTTTTGACTCGCGTGTGCGAAGCACAAAAGGGACTCTTTGCAGTTACCCTGTCTGTATGTCTGTATGTCTGTATGTATGTATGTATGTATGTATGTCACTTTTTTTGTTCCACCGTTATCTCAAGAACCACTAATCAAATTTTGATGAAACTTGGTACATAGATGCTCTGGGATAATGCGCAGAGTTGATTAGGTTTTGGTAAAAATCTATGAATATTAATTACCTAATTTGCATGATAATTAGCTGATTTTTAGCTGTCCAAGACT